TCTTCTTCATTCTTTAGAACCTAAAGGGTCTTTTTTTAAAAACAAACAGGCTCTTTCACACTCTTATACGCTATTTGGATACTTGGAACATCTATTATTTCAAACAGCGGTTCTCTAACTCTAGCTTTTCAAGCTGTATTGATAACAGTAACAGCTGTATTGATCAATGCTGCATTGCACGATGGTCAAGCTGCCCATGGTACTTAACGTTTCCTTAAGGGACAATCAGCTGAACGTTCCTCCTGAACAGAAACACTAGGCAAGGCTTCAGCGGTTTCAAGATGTTCCTGGCGTGTATTGGTCCATATCATGTTGCAGTCTTTCGAAATTTACTCACTAAATTCCCAAAAAATAAAAAAAAATTCCCTCCTGCAGGAGACGCTAACTGTATACAAAATGCATACCTGTTTCTTCGTGCCGGTTGTGGTTCCATATTTCCCAAATCGACAACATTTGCGGTGACCCGAAAATGACATCCCTGCCTTACCAGGAGACGATGTAGCGCAAATGTCGTCAAATGGTTCATCAATTTTGTGCGTGAAAATTGCAAATATTTATCGTATTCTTGCTCCGCCATCATATCCCTCCAATCGATTTTGTGCCTCAAATTGCCACCCATTAAATTGTCATTCTTACACTTATATAGGAGAAATTGAGGTATAATTCGAGTAAAAAATCAAACATTTTTAAACTGTGTCCATTTCGCTACTTTGCGGCCCATGAGGTATGGGTCACAGTTAGCTCAAAAATTGTTTAATCTTCATAAATTTGATTTGTTACAAAAACAAAATCAAGACATGGTACTTCGGTTGGCTATTACTGCGTGTACCATCACATACAAACGCTATACGCAACTGTATTTTCACGTACGTCTGTTTGAAAGAAACCTCATCACCTATGGTCAGGTCATTGGTGAAGCTGACGATTATCTTCATGCTTTCTGCCCTACCGGTGAGGAAAAATATGAGTGAATATTACTTAAATATGTGTAAATATTACTTAAATATTCCAAACGTGTAAATATTACTTAAATACTTAAGTATGTGTAAATATTACTTAAATATTTCAAATTTAATGATAAAAAAAGACACACTTACCAACTGTGAAGG